AGTGGCCTCAGAAATGAATATTTCAATGGAATTCTACCAAAAAAAACAAAAACAAAACAAAACAAAAAAACAAAAACAAAAAAAAACAGACCCCAGAATGTCTCCTTCTACTTGGCGCCCATGTCAGGAGGATGAACCAGGGAGGAAGATGGTGTCTGGGAGAAAAGATCAAGGGAGGTGTCACAGAGTAGGCCAGTGATGGACACTTAAATCAGGCTTTTATTCAATACTGGGAGTATTAGAGTTCCCTGAAGGTTGATGGAGTATTTCTTGTCTCAAGTTGACAAGGGCTTAAGAGGGGATAATACTGACTTTTAGCTTGTGTGTTGCTCTCACTCAAGAAAAAGCTTTGTATTAGAGAGAATTCTCTTACTGCCAGAAACAAGAGGGACGCTGTAACGTGACACCCTGTGTCCAAATCCATTCTGAACAAAGACATTTTTAGCAGATTTGGTGAAAAAACAAAGATTTTGTCAAATGCTTCGTGGTTCTGTTTAATCATCAGTCTGAAACAGCGGTGGTCACATTGACAGCGTTTGAGCATAAAATTTACTGTTGTTTTATTCATGCATGTTTTCAGAAAGACCTCCAGGGTTCAGACTGAAATAGTTTTATTTTTTGGTCCCATTTTTCCGCAGGCTAAGCTGAAGATTATAGTTCATTATCACTCTATAGGATTAGTCTTATCAAGAAACGGCCCTCCTGCACATCTGGAACAATTTGTTTAGTTTGTAGCCAGGAATGGCAGAATTATAATAATGTAGTCAAAATGTTCTGTCTGAATAATTCAAAGTCCATCTCCTGAAAATTGCTTCACTACAGCAGTAAACATTCACGCACGGGGAATATAAAGTAGTCGAACAAGGGCTGTGGAAATGATTTTTAATCTGATTATTTCACAGGTTAGCTGTGGATATACTGTATATATAAAAAGGAGAGCGAGGGGGGGTGGACTATTTATTGTGTGTCTGTTGCGTAACAAATAAACAGAGACTGGAACAACACTTTTTTTTGAAGGTCTCATTTGTAAGAATAATTTTACAGTATTTACTGTCAGACAAGGACAGACATTTTGAGGCTATAAATAAACTGCATCGCTGCGTTTTCTTCAGCTGACAGAACAACACACACACACACACACACAGAGTCTGGTTGTTATGAGTTACGAGGACTTTACGTATACATAATGCCCATTCCCTGACCACTGACTTTAACCTTAAACACTAAAAATGAACAGCTAAATTAATTCTTAGTTTAACTCAGACATGGGCAAACTAAGGCCCGGGGGCCAGATGTGGCCCGCCAAACTTTTCCAAATGATATTATATCATTATACTTCTGCCTTTTCCAGCATTACCGACGTTTTTCCCAATATATGGTTTAGACAATTATAAAAGCACTTTAGCATTTTAGCCTTATCTTAGTTTACACTAACGCTTCATCTATCTGCTTCTGACCCGGCCACCCTGTTAAATTTTAGGACAATTGTGGGCCATGAGTCAAACAGTTTGCCCACGCCTGGTCTAACGTCTAATCCTGACTGAATCTTGAACCTAACAATGTCCTGTTTCTCAGACCTGAAAAATGTCCCCATAAGTTCAAAGTGTCTATACAAAAAAAAAAAAATAATTTTTACCACAAAGAAATGTCTCCACAAGTAAGAGAACACACACACACACACACTAACCCTATTTACTACTTGCGTGACTACTGACCATTTATTAGAATGCAACAAATTCTGACTTTAGCCTGTAATGTATGCACTGACCTTTACATTTAATGATTTGCATTATGGGAACTTGTTGTTTGGCTCCACAGAGAAGACGGAAAGCACAGAACGTGACTGCAGAAACACACACTCCGACAACATGAGTTAAACTTCAACGACACACACACAAACAAACCATTCTGTGGTCCTGCCTCCAGAGAACAAATGGAATTACCCAGTGTAAATAACAAGGTGTAAAGAGGGAAAGCTTTATGTCCAATCACATGAGATCTGTGAGGGAGGGTGCTATGAAAGGGGCAAATCTATGGGACGGATTACCGGCAGGGTGTTTTTATGCATTAGTGACTTGTGTTTGTGAAACTGCTCTGCACACAAACCCATCAGACTGATCCCAGACTGGAGTCAAAACAGGAAGAACTGTAGGTCTTTTGCCCTATTTCAAAGTCGTCTTCTTTTGTATTGATTTTAGCAGACAGCCTGCCAAGAGCTTCTGATCACCTGACATGCAATAGTCCTGTCCTCACACAACCTCCTTCTGGGCCCCGGGCTGTTGTGTGGTTGGTGTTCAGTAACCCACAGATGGGAAACTGCTGACAATGATACAGGAAGTGCATCTTTCTTGCCGAGATGTTGATCTGTTTCCAGAAGCCTTGGCTCCTGTAACCACAGATAACAACTATCAGCAGCTCAGAATTACAAGGAAATCACAAGACCACTCTGGTAAAAACAATTAAATATATGCTCCATATAATAAGAAGAACCCCTGTTTGTTTTAAGATAAGGAGGAAGTCAAAAAGTTGTAATTTGATACATTTGAATAAATACTTCTCTTCAAATCCTCTACTGCTGCCAGTGGACCCTGAGGCATGGAGGAATCCTTTATTTTCAGAAAATCACAACCTGCTTCTTTAAATTGTCTCATAACCAGAACTGCGCTTTTTTCACATGTTCTGGGGAATAAAACCCAAAACAACAGAACTTGATCAAAATCTGTGGAAAAGCGTCTTTTAACACCTTTTCAATCAGGTTTGTTTAAAACTCAATCGTCTCTTGTTGTTTTGTTGTTAACAAGTAAGTGCCACATCTTTACCGCCCCGTCCTGTCAGACCCCTGACCTCAGCGCATGTCTGCAGGTTTTTGGCCCCAGGCAGACACAGGGAGAAGATCCAAACTCAGTACAGTAAGACAGCAAATCAGACCAGTGAGCATCTTAGTGTAAGGCATTACAACCACTTTTTCCCACCATGTGGCCCATAATCAATCCATAAAACCTTCAACAAAACTCGCTGCGTTTTCCTTCAAACACAGGCATAAAATAATACATCTGCATAACACAGCATGCAGCCCAGTGGCTCAGCAATAAAAATAGCACATAAAGCCAAATGACAAATACCTATCATAAAAATGACACAAACAATAAGTGCACTCATAGCTCATTACAACCCACCACCCCCCCCCCAAAAACAAAACAAAACAGTATTTACTGTAAATAAATCAAATCACAAACCCACAAAAATCATTCCTTTCCTTTTCTGGCTATGGCTGCCAGTCAGTTGGTATAGAAATTCAGAAGTCTGTTAGGAGAAGAAACAGTGAGCAGATCACAAATGTACTGAGGAGCTGAAGCATGTAGTACTTTAAGAACTAATAGGAGGGTTTTAAAGTGAATTCTCTGCTGAATGGGGAGCCAGTGAAGTGATTTAAGTAGTGGAGTAATGTGAAGATGTCTCCACATTCCTGTGAGCTCTTCAGTACCGCTCTGAAATCTGTCTGAGTTTAAGTTTCTCTATTCAGTCTTCTGTTAATCCAGCGAAAAAAAAAAAAAGAAAAGAAAATGCATGGAAAAATATATCAGCTCGCTAATAAACAAAGGTTTTGTACTGTCTGATACAGTAAACAGTAGGATTCCTTATTAATTTCATTCAGCATACAGCAATGTTCCTATGGGAATTACAAGTCAAGGTTCAGTTGCTTCCAATATAAGAATAAATAAGTTATGTAAAATTAAAGAACGAATGCTAAAAACGATAAAACTAGACAGATTTACATAATATAACTCTATTGTTATTTACAATTGACACCAACATGGGAGTTAAACTAAAACTGAAGTTCTTTTATTTATTATTTAACCAACAGTCTATTTATGTGTGTTCCGTGGCGCCTCCAATGGCTGCATGTGTGCATTGCAAAGACTCATGCTATGAATTTCCCCATTTTAGGAGAAATGAGGTCAGTTTGATCAGGTGTTTGATATTAAGTAAGATGAGCTCAAATGAATGTAGTGAAAACATAAACAACTGAAGTAGAAAATGAACTGAGAAACGTTGGGGCAGTTTATCCATGAAACCATGAAAGTTCATAATAACTGCCTTTGTTTTGAAGTTTTACTTATGGAATCCATGTGGGGTTACCTTCATGTCAAGGAAACAAATAAATGCCTGCGTAATGAACTCGTCTTCACACCGTTGGAAGGTGGTGAGTTACTGGTACTGCGGTAGATTAATCACGATGCAGTGCAGTCCCCGTGGCGGTGTGTTTGGATGACTGTATGGAGATATTTTATGGATCGTCATCAATCATCGCTTTCATGAATCATCAAGTTCACTGAAGCATTGCAGTTATGACCAAAACGCCTCAGCGTCACTGTACTGACACTGTCATATATTGATTCACATGTTCCTGTCGAGCTTCAGAGCAGTTTTGGTACAAAGTAAAAAAAATTAAATTCCGGCTCCGCAGTATGTGTACACGAGTTTCTATGAAGCCTTTAAAAGATTAAAAATGGCTCAGGGCCAGTGTTGTGTTGGCAGCTGAAGGAGTTGTGTGTATGTCATTATACACACAGCTCATGTGGAGAGAAAAACAGATGGTAAAGAGCCAAGTGTCATGAATCAAACTAACAAAATTTTAACATTGTTAGAAAGAAAGGACGCGTCTTGTTTCCTACTGGGAATAAACACTCTGTAAAAGACAGTTTTAAAAAAGATACATCTAATTAACTGACCCAGATTATTCTCCACAAGGTCACAGAAGATTAGCCTCTAGTGCACAATGACATCGCAACATTTACAGTTTGTTAGGCGACTCAGTCCTTTTAGTCGCAATGACAAATGTGTTCCCCTTTGGTACAGGCATTTATAGTTCTTCCAACATAAAAGCAGAATACATGGCTGCAGTTTCTTTCTTCAGTGTTCACCAGCACCATATTCAAATTATATTACAAGTGCAATGAAACATGTGTCTTCATTTTATTTTGAAAGACCTAGTTTTATTTTGAAAATGCAGAGAATTTACCTTCTGATTGTCGAAAGGTGTATAAACAGTTACCATGTTTGATCAGCAGGAGGCACGATGATGAGGTAGTTTACCTAGATTTCACTGATCGGCAAAATGAAGACATTGTGTCCTCGTCTTTGTTTTTGTCCAGTTCAGTAATTCATGTAAAACGTTGACGATGCCACAGCCACGTACCTGTTATTTATTATTTGTACAGACATTTATTTCCCATCGCTTGTTTCTTGGTACAGATCATGTCAGTCCTAGCAGCTGTCAAAACCTCACCTAAGGAAAAATATAGGTCTTCTACTAGTACAAGGACCCTCAGGTCCAGAGATAAGCCAGTAAGCCAGAGTCTGACAGCGCTGACAAGTGGCATGAAGTTGAGAGCAGCAGCAGACAAAGGCACAGGCCCAGGGCCATGTCCGGCTTCTCCCATAACACTGAGCAGAAAGCAGCTGTACGTGATCTTCAACAACCCAGACCCAGGGTGGGTTCACTCAGATGTAAGTCCCCCTTCGTCATGCTCAAGTACAACATCAGACTACAAGTTAGTAGCCGTGTTGCCAGATCTCATAGGAGAAACAAGTAACAAGAAGAACAATAATGATATTAATGCCAAAAACTAGGACACTTCCTCGCCTAATGTGGGATTTTGGGACTAGAAGGGTTACGAACTAGAATTCTCACCACTTTTGGTCCACTTTCTCCAATTTTTGTTGTAGACTAAAACTCATTCCTGAGGTAGCCAGCTGCTGATGGACGATCAGCAGGTCAGGAGCAAAAACAAAGAACAAAGTTAAAGTCCCTTAAATGACGCAGGTATACTGCTCCTGACTGGTTTAAACACAAACATCAGTGTCTCACTTTAAAGCATGTTCTTAACGCACGGCTGGAGGTTTTGTATTAAAAAAAAATGTCTTTTTTGTCCAGAAACTACTGTTCAAGGTCAATTCAGACAAACATGTTTACGTTAAAACGAATGGTTCTGTTTTTCCCCTCTGCGAACTGTACTTGGTGACATTGAATTACAGTACTGTGTTTTGAAAAGTGCCATATTTCTTCTGCGGTTTCTCACAGTAGCCACAGCATCGCTCTCCCTCGGTGCAGCTTTGTTCTTCCTCCTCCTTTTCTGCTGGTTAAACTAAAGCTCCTTCTTTTTACTGTAGATCCTGAAGTGTGTAATCTGACTTGGAGTAGTTCATTAATCATTAATGTCAGAGGATGATTGTCACGGTGCCTTTTTGTAGACAGCACAGCCATTATCATATTGGTAACACTTGGAAACAGCGCCCCTGCTGTGGGCGTGTTTCATCACTTCAGGTTCAACCGTCACCGCCTGTCTGACTTGTTACCTCGTGTCATTCCAATCATGTTTGATTCAGTGAGAGGCATGTGCGTCCCACAGTCCTGACGACACCTCCCTCTGAACATTTTCACATTCTGATTGGTAGCCCTTATTTTTAGTTCAGGTGAAGGAATTTTGAGAGAATGTCGGGGCAGCCGAGCCGCCGAGCCGGACGTTCGTTGTGGCTCAACTCTGTCAAACCTGCCAGAAGAAGGAGATGGAATGTTACAGTGGAAGAAGTGACATCAGGGGTGGAGGGGGCGAGGTGGAGCAGACTGACAGCTGTCATCCATCACTCTCCCCACCAGCCAGATGCAGGTTGACAGGAAGAGGTGAGATGGCTGGACTGGCCATTTGTACACAGTTTACCTGGTATGTCTCCATCCCTGCCCATCTCTGGTGGAATGCTGTCTGTCGTCCAACCATCCGATCATCTATCAATCAATTACTCTTCCAGGGTCGAGCCTGTACGTGACATGCTCTATTTCACCGCAGTGTCTTCCACTGCAGTGTTACGGTTTGTTTTTAGAGCCAGTCTCTTCGTGAGGGAAAATAAACTGTACATCAACAGAAACCATTAACCAATCGCAACCGCATCGGTGTAAAATTTTGAGACAGTTACAGCCCTTTTTCATGTAATTCAATGATGAAAACTTTGAAAAATGTTCAAGGATTTTTTTTAACCTATTCTTATGCCCCGAGACTCTGCAGACGGGGCAGAACAGAACGTGACAAATGGATTACAAAAAGGCAAGTTTAGAGGATCGACTGAGACAAGCATAAGGTAAATAATCTCATTCTGGGGCAGCTGGATAGACAGCAGGAGATACGACTGTGTCTCTGTGGAGTTTTTCATTGGTGGAGGGTTACTGATGCTGAACACTTCAGACAGCTGGAGCTAACACCTAACAAATCTTGTTTTCACAGCCTCCCATACCAAGGTAAATTTTACATCACGCCAGATGACAAGTTTTTATGAGTGCACTCTGCTGAATAGAGCAACAAAATCAATGCATCCAGTGTGTTGAATAATTGTGGTAAAAAAAAAAAAAAAAATTCCAGAACGTTTGATACTATCTCTATGAAACTGTTAAAACTTACGGGCTTTTTTAAAAAGCACAAGTCTTTTTTTTTTTTTTAGTGGTTTGGCTTGTCCTTTGACTTAAATTGTAATGACTTTTATATCATTAATATACTCTATATCATTTATGGCCACAGGAAGGCACCACATGCTACTGAGCCACTGTTAAATAACATGATGAACGAAAATAAAAACATGAAACCTTGGACTACAGATTAGAGAAAGTATGTAAATATATAAATACACACAAATATTTTTTCCCCACATATATAAAGATTCAGTTAGCTTTTATTAGCAACTTAGCTTCTATTTCAGTTTTAGGAAGTTTAACAACTGTTTGTGTCTCTTTGTGAGAATTTGTTTTGTGTGAAATAATTGCAGTCACAGGATAATTCCTCTCAGACAATGGCCGTTGGCTGGTGTCTTTTGTATGATGTGGTGATAATGATTTGTCGTCCAGGCTCACTCTGCTTCCCTCCGTGGACTCTAATATCCATGCAGTGCAATATACAGTGGGAACAAACAAGGCGCTGGTTATTTACAGGCCTGTCTCTGCACATGGCAGCTTGTCTCTTTTCAGGATATTAAGATTTTTGTTGCTGAATGATTTGCCTTCCTTGATTAAGCTTCAGAGTTCTATAAAACTTGTCCATAAAACTGCCAGGCTGCTGTGGTATTCTGCCTCTCCACTAACCCAGGTCTGCTCCGCTCCGTGCTCCTCAGTGAGTTAACAATATAAAATGACATTAACTAGCGCTTACCCATACATTTCATTCCGGCAGCACGGCGGTGTGCTGGGGGAAGGTCAGGCTTATTTTATTATAAGTTGGGGGGGGTGAACATGTATTGGGTTTAAGTGTCACAAAACACTGAGGTGACAACCTCTTTGGGAAGTGATCAAGTGCAAATATGATTGGAGTGCAGTGGAGCAGTGGAAGTGCTGCCTCTGGGATGGGCTCTGATTATGCCAGGAGTAGCTGCTAAATCAATAGACCTTGACACTATTTCTGCACAACAAACACCCGAGCTCATGTGCAAACGTCTGGCAGCAGCAGACACCGCGTCAAACCTTCCTCTTCCTCTCTTTATTCTCCAGCACCCATATGTATTTTTCATGGGTTTGAACAACAACTGAACCACAATTGAAAAAAAAAAAATTCCTGTTAAATAAAATCAATATCCAGCCATGGAAAAAAAAATATATATACTGTATATATATTATACAGTCTATAGTCTGTGCTAATATCCTCCTTCTCTTTTGCTTTTTCTTGCTGGTCTTTTTGGTCTACGCACCTGTTATACCCAATCTAAAGCCCTGCAACTTGCTAAACTGCTAATTCAGATTCCTCCCAAAATATTGACCTTTGCTACAGACTTAATTTGTTGTGTTTCCTGGATATGGAGAGGCCCCTTGTTCCACCATTGAATTTGTGAGTCGGTTCACCAGCAGCGCAGTCTGCAGGGCAGTTTTGTTGGAGTGTAACCTCTGACAGTGGGCTGTTGATTTTATTTTTCGTCTGCCGTACAGAGTGATTTGCTGCAAATTTGGTCAGAGTGTGCGGTTGTGGAGCCCACGGTCGGAAAACCAGAGGCACATTGTCTGTTAATGACACATAGTCATTTCTGCCATTTTTACCAGCGATATCTCCTCTCCTTCATGGTGCTGTTTTATAGAATGAGAGGCTTCACTGTGTTTAACGCTCCATTTCCCTCTTCATTGTGAGCATGGAGGTGAGAGCAGGATGATTGGCGAGTTGTGGTGCAAAGGGGGGGGGGGGGGGGCAAAATGTCAGCGCATTTTATTGCCCCACTCTCGTCCTTCCAGCATGGCTGGTCGCAGAAGTGCCCTGAGTATTACAAATAAGCAGATGTCCTTTACATGTTAGAACTAAGTCGGCGTGAGATTTGGATTTCTCATATGAATGAGAGACAAACTGGATGGAAGAGTATTTACAATATTTTAACATTTCATCATTGGGATGAGAAGGGACGTCTTTTAGAGGAGGGACACTCAAATATAAACGCGGAAACGCATGTAAACAGATTAGATTAGATTAGATCAAACTCGGATTAGATTGAACTTTATTGATCCCACACTGGGTGAAATTCAAACCTAAACTATTAGACACAGTTCAAGACATTAAACCAGGAACTATCAAACAACTGAAATTGTTAATCAGACTAATCACAGGGTAGCTGGCAATTAATCAAAATTAATCATGATTAGTCTTGATTATATTCCTGCAGGATTCAATTTAAACTCTTATATATTTAAATTGTTTTTATCTCCAATTTGCTACAAAAGAACGACAAAAAACAGCAGGTAGACGTATGTGTTGTGCACCTATCTGTAATGATGTTTTATCCAAATGATGGAATTATTAATATAGAAAAATATCAAGTAAAAATTTACAAAACTATAATTCAAAGTAGTACTCATTACTGTACATCTTGACAGTGGCTGGTAAAACTGAGGTTGGTCTGACACCAGGGTGCTTTATAAAACGAAAACTGAAAAAAAAAAAGAGTTTTAGAGCAATAATATGTGGATGGACGATGGAAGACAGTTAAAAAGTTAAATCGAATTAATCACTTACAAAGTGTTTTTTGGACAGCTCCAAATTACACATGACTTTTTTTCTAAGGAAAAAAAAACAAGTCAGTTACTGAGGCTGACGTCACTGAACCTTTGAACCAGACTTTAGCTGAGGCTTCACATGTGTATCATCTCTAATGAGCCGTCCCTAACTGGTTTTACATTTCACTTTAATTACAGATTACTAATACACAACTACTCAGATTTTTCATAGCTGGGTAAATTTAACGGTGCCGTTCTGACCTGATTTATCTACGCATAATAAGTCTCATCTTTTAATGCACCATCATCACTTTGGCATCTTCAGTGCAGACCTACAGAGCGTGTGGAGCTGAAACTCTATTAGGAACATGTTGTCTTTGAAATTATTTAAAAGAAAGTGAACATTTTTCCCAGTAATTATCTTCACTGCAGGAGTCCAAACGTCCAATACTGACCCTGGGTTTTTACACTTTCTAATCCGTTCTCCCTGAAAATAACACTAAATATAATAAAATTACTTTTTGAGTTTATTTATTTTAGGGCTGAATTCAGCCCTTTTGGTCCTGCTGTCTCCTTCACTCACAAAGATGTCAACTCATCTGTCATAGCTGGGCTGGCCATCAGCGCCATGAGAAATCCTGCTGTGTCAGTCGCCCAGTGGACTTTCAAAACATCCATTAATTTTTTACTGCAGTTTTTATAGGCAGGCAAAACTTGGCATATCAATGTTTGCTGTGTGTACTCCCCCGACAGGATCATTGTCCCTGGTGAGAGGCCTGGGGCTGATGCAGCCTTACGTTGGCCCCAGAAACAATATGAGGTCATCGTGAGGGCCAAGGTTCCTGTGTCTTAATTCCACATAATCTGTGCCATTTCATCAGGGCGGGGCAGCGGCGGGGGCGACTAAGTCATCCTGAACAGTCCCAGTCACTTTCCAATTCTCTCCTTCCTCTTCCTCTACAGCATGATGGACAACTGTGACCTGGTACATTGGGCAGTTTAATGGCTTTCAGTCACATTAGGCTGAACAACAGACCTGATGTTGTGTCAGATGGAGGCAACGTTCCATGAGACGTTGCAGGATGAAAACAGAGACTGTTACCATCATGTCAGGAGCCACTGCAGGTTCCTTATGGGTGGGAGCCAAGAGTTCTAAAAAGTTCTACAAATTAAAAAAAATCATTATGAAAGAAAAAAACAACAAAGATGTTTCTCTTGGTTTCTTCTATTTCAGTCTTCACACTTCAGCAAATGGTGTCACCGTCAGAGAATCCCCATGTAGAGAAGGAATTCTTCACATTTTTTCTTTACCTCGTCCAAGGACTTACTCCTTTTCAAATGTGCTTTTAATTTTCGGAAAAAATAAAATAGCAGAAAAATCTCATCAAATAAAATGTAAAACATCTTAATAATAAATAATATCAAAGCAGTTGGAGACGCCTGAGATCAGACTGAACATGTTTTAGTTTAATACGATTGAGGTCAGCTCTGAGCTGCTCATTGGCCAGTCTTGTTCGACAATCGCAGGGCGTCAAAGAAAGACAAAGAAGACACTGAATGTGTCCAATCAACATAATTCAAATCTGCATTTTTTTAACTAAAACTCATAACATTACATCTCCATACAGAAATACCTTCATTCACCACTAGGGTTAAACTAATGACCTTGAAATCTCAAAGACAGGATGGAACAACCTGTCTCTATATTGGGCCCCAGACGTTGAAAGTAAAGGGCCAGTTATGCTGCAGATGTTAAAGCTAAAAGAGGAAGCATCGCGCCAGTCTCTGTGGAGAAAATATCCCCATCAGAAATTCATTGGCTCGTGTCGGGCACTCAGCTGACACACTTAATACCGTACATTTCAGTCTCTCTGGCGTCATGGTGCAAACTGCTTTTAGCAGAGCTGTGATGTGAAAGCATCTTTGTATTGAGATGTTTTTCTCCTCCCCTTTGTTCCCACCCTGTCTGCCACAGCAGAGATGTGAGGCGGGGCGGGTGGAGTGGTGCAGGGGCAGTCGGTGATGAGTAGGTAATAACTCCATACCTCGTCTGCGGGAGGAGACATGAACTAAATTAATTCTGACATATACTCTGGGTACAGCCCATCAATATCCTCTGCTGCCATTAAATCAACATCCAAAAAAAAAAAAAAAAAAAAAAGAGCAGGATACCTGGTCGTAAAACTGCAGTTCTGTGACAAAGAATCTGGACCCTAACAGGAAAGTGTGTGTGACAAAGCATAAATCTGCTGATGTGACGGAATCAAGAAGAATCACTAACAATATCATATTTTAGCCATGGAGTTACAGCTGTACTGACCCGATGAAAAGACATCTTTTAATAACATTAAAGATCACCGGTCACTGCTAATATACTTGGTGAAGATTCAAATATTTAATTAAAATGATTTGCTTGATTAATCATGAATAATCGCATGACATATATATATATATATATATATATATATATATATATATATCTTTTGTATGGGTCTGTATGGGTTTTCCTCCACTAATTTATCCGAAGTGAAGTGTTTTTTTTATTTTTTTCATTTTTCATTTCATTTTTTCATTTTTTGCTGTTTTGTTTTTATGGATAAAGAGTTTAAGAAGAGGGAAGATTTAATTTCTTTATAGATTGGAGAGTCCGTGGACTGACGCCCAGCTTGGATTGTTTTGTTTTGATATGAGCAGTAAAGCTACAGCTAAATCTATATACAGCTAATACGTTTACACCCATCACTATATGCAGTTACGCTCATTACTTACAGGAACTCAGAGTTTTGCCCTTGTGAAAAGAGAACGACGGGTGGAGGCAGTGCAGAGGAGGACGAGGAGGGGGCACGCAACAACAGAATCAGTCACACAGACAGACAGACTATGCAGGAGCGGGTCTGTAATGTTGGATGTCTATGATGTAGGACGGGGTCAGTTGAGGCAGTGGAGTTGACTTGCTCTTATTTGTCCTGGCTGTTCCAGCAATGTACAGAGAAATCAAAGTTGTCTTTGTTGATTAATTCATCCCTTAATCAAAATGAATCATGAATAACTTCAATCTTGATTAATCACAATTAATTGTGATTAACTGTCACTCAACTCAAGTGTCTCCTTGGACATTAAGTATATTTTAGGTTGCAGACAATGATTCACAATTCAAACTCTCCAATGCACCGTGGCCTCCACAGATGTGTGATATCTACAGGCATGTCATGCAGATTGACAATCAGATGAAAAGCAATGGAAGTGAACTGTTTTTTACCCTGTGCCATATTTAAAGAATATTTAATCCTCCTCTGGAAGGAAGAATTGGTAATGAATCCCAGGGCTTTTTTAACACATCACATTGCCGTTGGCTTAAGCTGACACCAATAGGATATGAAGCAGAAAGCTCTCCATGGTCTACAATAGAAAGATTTGACAGCTGTTTTAGGATCACATCAATCACAGAGAATTACAGACCAAAAAAAAAAAAAAATTTGACAGGGTGAAAAGATGTAAGTGTGGGAAACACTACAAAGTACTGGGGTTTTTTATGTATTATTACCAGGGTAGAAGAAATATTTTTGATATTTGGAATGTAAAGGTTATAAAATGAGAACTTTAAGTGAAGATTTACTATGTAGAAGTCCAAAGAAGAGAACATCTTTAATCCCCTTCTAGTAAAATAAAAATAAAGGCTGTTGTTTATACACTGTAATGGCCATTTTAAATCATTATTATTATTTCTTTGTGGCATACAAATGATGAGCGTTTAGATATAACGGCGATGTTGGAAACTAAGCAGATCTCTGCTTCAACTCATTTAAACCAGAGTCAGCCATTAGGAGTTTGCTGGACGCCCAGAATTGAAATGTTGTTACTGGTGGATTTAAAAGGTCTTTACTCCATAAATCCTAAATATCTTAATTTAATCCAGTCCACTTATGTACCTGTGTTATCCAGCTCTGTCAGGTCCAAAGTGCAGTTGCTGCTGATCTCACTCTTATACGAAGCGAAAGTTCTATCAACCAGATATGAGTGAACAAACACCAGTGGGAATTAAAGCATCAAGATGTGAGCAGAGAAAAGGCACGAAGGGGAAACAAATTCATCTTGTTAGATGAGAGTGCTGATGAAGATACAGACTGGACCACGCCTGCACACTCACCCAGCACGTCCTCCGTGCAGCCACTGGCTTGTTTGCATTTACACGTTTACCGAGCAACATTAATAAGAGCAGGATGGAACGGCTGGAACAAATATCTAATGACTCACCCAGTAATTTATTCTATCGCTGAACTGATTTCTACCCTCGTTTAGAATTATTCAGCCCAGTGTCGGGAAAATGGCCAAACATTTTCTCTCTGCCAGAGATAATTTAGCGTCCACTCTGATGTGCCCTTTCCACACATTAAATTAGTGCATAACCCTGATGCTGTATTTTTCTAAGCCTAACTCTCAGGTTTGGGTTTATTTTCCAAATGCACCACTTAAAGTTGACTGTGATGTTTGACTCCGTGTTATGAAATCACGGCCGCTGCTCTGTAGTTGGCTGTGATTCAGGGAATCTAAACTGAGCACAAACAAATGTTTTTTTTTTAAAATAACAGGTACAAGTTTGAGTCAACACCTGCCTGTAACCTGAGCACGGTGCAGCGGATGTGGGGGGGGGGGTGTCTGCCAGCGCTCATACAAGGTGTCCTAGCAACACTGAGCAAAAAAAAAAAAAAAATCAAGCTTTCATTATTTATTAGGTTACAAAATTAAACTGTGAGAAGCAGTCAGTCAGCCGTGAAGTCGACAGGAGGGAATGTTACTTACTTGTTTGCCAGGGACTCAGGTTGGTGCACCAGGCTTCTCTGGGAGCGGAAGAAACGAGGGATGTGGGATTAGATCCTCCACCCCGCCAGACAGACGGAGTATTGTGTATTCACTGAAAAAAAAAGTAATAAGAACAAAGACTTTATTTAACACCTGTCCAGCTATATAAAAAAGACAAGGGGTCTCAAACTGAGCTGGGGGCCACTGCAGCCTCTGCCATTAGAAATAATAGAAAATTTATGATTCTAAAACACATTTAAACTCCTGACATTGTTGACCTACTTCAGTAACTCCACCAACATCAGGTCTGATGCCAACACCAGTATTGGTTTTGGTTCATCCCTCCTTGATTACCTTAAAGCGAAAGAGAAAAATATTTTCCCTCATTAGTGCCACCCACAGAATGGTGCAGTGGAATCCTCGCTGCCATGACGCCCATGATGAAGAGAGAAGCAGAAAGTGGTTCTTCACTGCCAAAATAAATGATGTTTTGATTCACATCATTATACTTGCAGTTAAAATTGCACACAAAAAAATTTAAGTGTGCATTTCCCTCCATTGTGTGAGGTTTTGTCTTTAAGAACGCACTGCTCATGATACAAAAACTCAGATGAACAAGCAGAATTTTCTCAAGGCTGAAAATAGCAGCTGCTGACTCTATTGTTTGGCCTTTAGAAATAAATTCATCATTAGAAGT